AAAAGAAATTTAAATATTCAAATAAATACATTCTTTTACATGTCCTATATTCACCGTTGATAGTAAACCAGCACATTTCACTCCAACACAGCAAAGGGATATATGACTCACAACGTAAAAACTCAGTTCTAGAAGAGAGCTGACAACTGGACTTTTGAAGGCAGTGAACACCTTTAGCAGTGGGGCTGATGGCAGAAAGGGCAGAAAATGGATGTCTTCAGTTTCTTGTTAGCCCTCTACCAGGGGTGAAAATAACGGGGTGTTACTAGGACGAGTATAGGAAGAAGTGGATTTTGTTTTGTTTGTTTGTTTTTCTTTTCTTTAAATATGTGGCTTTGTGCATCATCCATTAACCAGAAAAAAATGTTAATTGAAGACCTCTTGAATCCTGAGTAGTTGAGTAGATAATATCCTGTCAAACAAGACAGAATATATCATGGCATTGACTGTTTTAACATCAATCCTCACGTCCTGTGAGCAGCAACACCGACCGGTCCTCAGAGAGACTCAGCCCTGGCTTCTCTTCATGTCTTGGTGGTGATATTTGCCATATACTCGAAATCTTTGTGTCTCTATTCTTTTTTCTTTACCTGTTTTGCCTATTTAGGAGATTAGGTCTGTTGAACAATTATGTGACTGGGTATCCTAAGTTTTCCCTTAAGCCTTAAAATCTCTATGACAGACATTAAACATATTTATTTCTATTTTAACATAGTCTATCTTCCTAAAAGTGGCTATGATTTAAAATTAGATGCTCCAGTGAGTAGGCCATGGTATTCTGTCTTTCTTTATTATGATATGAGGTCACTGACTCTTCAGTTACTGCCCTGCTGGGATTTTTGTAATGTCCTGGCACGTGAAAAGGTCCTTTTTTTTGATTTTGGCACTATGGCTTTCAGAGTGGATTTCTTTCTATGTTTATAAATACACTCTATCTAAAAGGTGGTTCCAATGTAGGATTGCTCTATTCTGATTGAAGGAAAATGAAGGTTAAAGTTTATTTGAACACTTGACTCAGACAAAAAAAACCCGCCAGTAAAGTATTAGAATTCTGGAAGAAATTTTGTAAGAATGAAGAAATTCCTTTTTAACATTTAGGACCATTTTAAGAACACGTAACAGTGAGTCCACTGAGGCTGGTAAAGTCTATTCAAGTGACAATGTGACGCCTGACACGTAGCAACCGCCTTCGCAAACCTAGAATGGAATTGACAGATTTCAGTACAGGGTGATGCTCAGAGTCCATAACTCTGATCAGCTGTGGGGGATAAGGTTGGTCTGAGGAGAAGGAGAGTGGTAAGCAGCAGCAGAAACTGCATTAAGGAGCAAATATAATTCAAGGTCTTTTTGCTAGTTAATGTTAAATTCTTTAAATGCTTTCAGTAAGAAGTGATTAAACAAATTAAGAGTTCTGCTACTGTATTTAAAGAAACCCCAAAATATTTTGATCTTTTAAGTTGAAATATTTCTCAATGCTCTTCAATTTTGAAGCACCAAACTATACAAAGATTGACAATTAGAAAATCAGCATGAAAATATTTCCTCTAATATTTTCTTTTTTTTTTCATGCAAATAGAATCCCAGACTCACAGAACTCTATTTATGCCACAATTTTGCATGTTATAATACATAAATGAATCATGATGTGACTGAATTTGAAACTTGAAGAGCTTACTTAAGGACGATTGGGCTCCTGATAAATAGATTTACAGCCTAATACTGTTCTGGGCTTCTGATAAATAGAATTATAACCTAATACTCTGAAGTCCTTTACATCCTTCCTTTCAAAGGCTTCAGAATGCTTTTCTAACAACACTAATAAAGTAATCCTAAACCACAGTTGTGAGATACGTGTCTACAGAAAAAGTTAATACTTGTCAAAGCAAAGTAACCGGCTTGCACAAGGTCAGAGAGCAAACCTGGAGGAGTGGGAAGAAGCGAAGCCAGTCGCGGCACTTTTGCCATTAGATGGGTCTGCTCACCAGTGCTGGCCCGGGATAGGTAAAAGCACTCTCCCAAGGTTTTCGGGTGATCAGTCTCCAGTGCTAGAGGTAGAAAGCACTTCCAAAATTAGCTGAAGCAATAAAATGTTCCAGCTGTGAACTCTGCAATTGTCCTTAATTACTCTGAGGTTATGATTAATATTCTTGCGCAAAATAAATGTTCTGGAATGGGTGGAATTTTTCCAGCTTTGTGTCAAACCTTTTAGGGCTCCTGCGGTTGAGCGAATTCCTAATTATGAAGGGTTTTCCAGTGAATTTGGGTTGTTTCCAGACAGTTTCAGATAACATTGTTTTGAACTCATTTTTTCCTCCCCAGTGTAACAAAGCTGGGTTACAGATGGGGAACTGAGGCACAGAACAACTTGCTGGAGGACACTCTGGACCGAATTCTGGTCTCCTGTGTGTGTGCTCTGCCAACAACCGCACCACGCTCTGTCACAAGGTCATTTCATTTCTATCTATGCACAAAGACAAGTCACAGGAAAACGAATATTTTTCTGAGTTATAAAGCATCTAAGTGTGAGGCCAGCAATGAACTAGGGCAGCCTGTTCAGATCCATTATCCATAATATGCTGAGATGTGCAAAAATTTACCGGTCCTTAGATACAGACCTAGAAAAATTCAAACTCAAAGGCAACTGTGGCTGAGAAGAAAAGTAACCTACTAGCATGAATGAAGTAGAATCAAAGAAAACTCTTAGTCTAAGAAAGGGAAAGAAGAAGGGATGATAGCTGATGCATACTGTACAATATCAGGGAAGAATGGGGATATTCACAAAAGGTAACCTAAGCCGACTGAAGCTAATGAACAAGGCACCTTTTATAGCTAACAGAGAGAGATAAATTCCTCTCCAGGGCAATTCCCAGCAGCAACTTAAAATAACCATCATTATAGAGGCAATCAAGGGAGATTAGTTAGCCTTTGTAACAGTCTTGTCCCTCACTGTATCTCTGCTATAGAATTTGGCTAACTAATTTTGAATACATCAGAGTTTTTGGACTAATGTTTGCATACTTCTGCAAAACCATCCTGATTTCATCCCTCTTACATTTTACAGGAAAGTACAAAAGTACGAAACGAGGAGTTCACAGCCACCCTTCTTACTAGAGCCCATTGCCCTGTTCCCAGAAGAATGAATTCTGCTGAAGGAGTGCAAGTGGAGCATCAGCAGCATTTTTCCATGTCAACTTCCAAACTCAGGGCTCTAGAGACTTTAATAGAACAGTTGAACTGGAAATCATTAATTTTATGAGCATCCTAGGAATAGTCATAAGACATCATCTTACCCGTAGCTGGCAGGGAAGTGTGCAGGAAAACTCAGGTCAGTTTTAATCCCCAGGTGATGTAAAAGTCTGCAGAGCATCTAGAGCTTGTTCAGTTGACAGGAGGGCTGCTCATTTGAACAGGCTCAGAATTCTACCCTCTGATTTTGGGCTTGACATTTGGAAGCATGCTGGTCAAGATTTTCGCATTTCTTTCTGTCTGTCCATGGTTAGGTAATAATAGAAGTTTTTACTTTTTTTTTTTTTTTTTTTTTTTGAGAACTAAAACTCAGATACAGAAAAAAATCAGGAAAGCTGGGCTTATTGGTATACAGCCCACAGAACATATGTCTTACCAAGTCAACCAAAAATATACACTTCGTAAAATATGACTGCCTGTAAATAACCTGGAGACAGCATAGCTCACAACTGATCAGAATCTCTTTCAAGCAGCTTTTGATTTCATTTTGCTCTAATCTTACAAGAAGGTTAGTATGCCATCTTCAGTTTCTACCAATTACACAACTTTGAATCAAAGTGACTTTTGTGACACTGCAATAAAATTACATGTCGAGACCATCAGCAATCTGTTGTAACATCAATATATTGAATCCATTAGAGCCTGTTCTGCTAAAATACTCTAGAAATGTCAACTCATCTCACAAACAGAAGAAAAATATGTGTGAAAATATTAACCACAAACAAAAAAAAGCATCTGAATTTTTTTTCTTCTAAATGTAAGAGATTTTGTGCCCAGCTCCAGATACAAAACCAGATCTTTTGAAAACAGGGACAGTTAAAAAAAATATATTTTCAAACATTCATATAATTGAAACTGAAATTATATTTGAGAGTTTTGTCCAAATTTAATTGTAACCTCATTATCAAAAAGACTGCCATTATGAAATCAGGTAGTAGTACAATTAATATACGTGGACTTTAATGTAAGGAATATTTCCGCTGTTACCCATACTTCTTTTTTAATTCTGCAAAACATTTCAAGCACCATTTCAGTAAAGAATGGTATAGCCTTTCAATATTACTCTTTTCCTGTAAATTCCAAACCAAAATTCTGATCCTCAAACTGTAATAGCTAAAAGATAAAACAAAGTGTCTCATGGAGACAGAACGTGGACATGATACTTGGTTTTTATAACAAGCCAAAATACTGCTATAAACACAAGCTTGGAAAATGGTTTTACTTAAAAAAAAAAAAAAAAAGCAAGAACAATCTACATTAGGTGTTAAAATCAGTTACACTAGAAACAAGTGACTTACCTTATCAGAAAAGACACTATCTACAAAGTTTTCTTGCAGTAGCAAATAGCTATGAAAGCTTGCTGAGAAATAAAAACTGGTGATTCAAATGTCACAGGAAACAGCATACACTTTTTTCTCTTGGCTTGTTCTTTGGAGTAGACAAAATTGATCCTCATTTAATTACAAAGTAAACCCCAAACAATCTTCCTGTTAATTAACAAGCCAATTAATGAAATGAAACAATTGCATCTAAAAAAAGTGTGGCGTCTCTTTTGCTATACAAAATATTTTTTTTTTTTATATATATATATATGTAGAATTCTGCATCTAATTTAATTAGCAGTTTTGTGTTGAAGAACAAAGCTCCTGCTTACATGATCAGAATATTAAATTAGGTACCTTGTATACTACCACATTTAAACATTATTGGATAAAGGAATCCATCGGATAATGGAAGAGAGCCTCAATACTCACATTTAGTTTTAAGCTGCTTCTCTTGGTAGCTTGTGCAGCAAAATAAAGGAAGAAATAATTACATGTCTTCACAGAAACAAGCATTCATCAAGTCCAAAAGAAACAGAACACTTTGCCAGAGCTATTTGAGGGTCCCATCAGAATTTGGCTGGATGAAGGAAGGCTGAGGGTCAGTTTGTTTCCCTGAGACCTCATGACATGGAAATAGCTGGCTGCCTTACCACGGAATCAAATCATTCTTTGACATACCGTGTTTACAAATTGCAAATACATACCATGTAGGAGGTTCTTAAAGGAACATATTTCACACAGTTGTCCAAAGGAAAAAGGCACTTCTGTTAAAAAAGTAAAGAATTAAAAACCCCCAAAGACCCAAACTGTTTAGTGCAAAGGGAAAAAAAAAAAAAAGAAAATGGATCATCATTCATTTTCAAATACATTTTGGCCCATGCATAATGAATCCGAAAGACCTCGTGCAGGCTTGTAAATCAGTAAAGCAGCAGAAAAATTGTGATTGCTGAAGTCTGATTGTTGTGTACAGGAAATGGAGGGCAGGGAGAAACACTTCTCCAGTTTCAGAAGACTTATTGGGACCCAGCAGAACGGCTCTGACACTCCTAAAGCGACCTGTGGGCTGGAACAATCCGCTGCTTCTCCAGCGGGCAGGAAGGTGTTCACATGGCGGCACCTCCAGAGGGGCAGCAACGGCCTCCTCTAGGTTCTCGCTCAGTATTTCTCAGTTCTGGCTTTCTCTGCATCAGTCATCTCTTCCACTTTTTGCTTGGACAGAGCAGGGGCCAGCTAACTTCCACAGTCTATAGCATGCACGGAGCATAAAGTGCTTATACTTTGCCTAAGAGTCTATGCAGACCTTCAGTCAGTCACAGCTGAGAGTAAGGATATTGTGTCCATTTAAAAAAGGCAGGATGAAGTTAGAGCCGAGTGAAAAAAAGGATGGCTGCTTGCACCATGAACCACTACTGACCTCCAGGCAGATTTTTCCACAACCAAGAGCCAATAGATCTGAATCATTTAGTCTATAACGTCAAGTGAGTGGGAGCTGCTTTATATCACAGATAGAAAAAAGAAGGAAACGTTTAAATGGTTTAAAGATGTATTATGTTATCTGAAGACTTTGGTACAATTGCCAAATTGGGACAATGTGTTCCAGAGGTTATCTGTGTCGAGGTACTATCTTGCAAGATACTACATCAGACTGATCAGTTAATTATTGTTGCCAAGAATTCATAATCTCTATTTGTAGATGACTGGTTTATTAAACCTCTGCAGATGCTTTTTTTGGTCATATACTCAAACTAGATTGAATTATTTCCTTCTATTGTTAGGAGGAAACGGACTATAAGCTTTATTTATACCAAGCACTTCCATACTGATTTTTTGAGCCTGTGATTTTGTACAGATTGAGAAGAGGGAGGACAAGTTACACCTGAATTTCAGTCCAGAATGAGAATCATGAATAGCTTCCTCTTGCCCTTCCTTCCAAAAAGAAAAAAAATGGAAGTACAGTTCTTGACTAAGAACCTTTTGAAACTCACAAGACAGAGCAAGACAAAAGTATTATCCAAACAGATCTGTCAAAAGGAGCTAATGACACCTAGAAACACTTCTAACGCAATACATTCTTTCCAGAAAGACTGAGAAGTGCAGATGCTTCCCCTAGCATATCACCTTCCTTCAACTTCAAAGACTATCCTTAAATTTGTCTAACTGTAGAGATCATAACTATGTCAATAGAAGACATGCCCAGAGAAGCACTTAACCCAGAGCTTTTGTCAACAGGTGCAAACTGAGCACAACTGAAGAACAACAAAAACTCTGTTGCTTCTTCGGAGTATCAGTTAGATGATATCTCATACAGCTCCACATCTCTTCCTGAACATCCCGAAATAGAAAGCAGCTTATTTCATCTCTCCTCAGATATGACCTGCCTTGACCTAGCTTCCTCTTCACATTGAGGATTTGGGAAATTCATCAAACAAATGGTGTTTCTCTTTATAAACTTTTCAAGTTGCTCTTCTCACTTTGGATATTTTTGTTAATTAAAAAAAAAAAAACAAACCCAAAAAACCCATGCCATTCCTTAACAATGCCTAAATACATAAATAAATAAATAAATAATTTGTTGTTTTCCTGAGAAAACATCTTTGGCATTTACTGAACATGTTATTTGGGTCAGCAGAGAAAGGAATTCTGCTCTCACAAGTATCCTGTTTATGCAAAAGCTTCAGATAATTACCATTTTCTATGTTTAAAGTACAATCATTGCTCAAAAAGTTTGAGTAGCACATATTTGGAGGCTCAAAAATCACTCAAGGGAAAAATCACTACATGCCTTGTTCTTATATTCCTCCCTAGGCATCCAGTTTTGGCCCTTGCTGGAGGGGCTACATAGACCTTTGATCTGATCCAGTACACTCCTGTGCTTTCTGCAAGAGTACTAAACTTCTTACTAAAAAAAACAAACAACCTATCCAGTTTTATAGAAATTTCCATTTTCCTAGCCTAAAGGAAATGTAACTGTTACTTATTAAAAAAAAAAATCAAGCCACCACTGCATGAGCAGCCTACTCGTGAGCCTACAGAAACCACAAGTACTGTAGTTTTATCTGAACAAGCTGTAAGATGGATTCATGCAGATCAACGATACTACTTAGAAACTTGTGCCCCCCCCTTTTTTTTTTTTTTTTTTTTTTTTTTTTTTCCCCTCAGACACTGGGAAATAAGAGAATTGGGAAAAAGGCTGCAAGTTCTAACGGAGCAACAGTTTGCTTATTTCCAGCAGACCTGCGAATTACCAGCTACAAAAGTCACAATTTGCCACTTACAAACAAGGACAGGAAAGGCTGTTGCTGAGAAAGGTATTATTCTACGAATGGCTAATGCACCCTTTCCAATTTGCTGAAAGTAGCAACAAATGAGGCTACGAGATGCATGTTTGTAATATTTGTGTGTATATACATACATGCATATATACGTCAGCTTTATGAAGATATAAAAATATAAAGGTGATATTTAAATACCATGGGTGAAGGGCATGAGAGGCTGACACTAAATACTTAAAACCAAAGTAAAAGCGTTAATTTGTATACTTTGTATTGCCTTTCATTTTCCTAGATATTCCAAACAGTAGTTTTGTTTTGTGAACTGAACCTCTAAGACAAGATTACTCTTCCTCCTGTATACACTCCTCCTAGAGAGAGGAAAACCCTCAAGAATTAGCAAAATATTCAGAAAATTGTGCATATTCCTTTACTTTCTCTTTCAACATACTTCTATATTATAAACTAAAGACTGATTTTCCACATCTAATAGACAACAAAAATATCTGGGAAGGTTTTCTATACCTATGTCTACTTGAATTCTGTTAGCAGCCAGACAATACCTCTGAATTTTAATGCTTCCCTTGTACTTACTTCAAAGAATATATGTTGTTTTCAATCATTCTTATACCATTGGCTACAACACAGCAAGTCTAACACTTGACATAGTAAATTATCATTATCATTCCATCATAAAACAGTATCAAACTAAAAAAAGGGACACTCAAAATGGCATGTTAAATCAAATGGTGTATATTACCAATTTCAGTTTGAAAGCTGCAAATTGCACGATGATCAACCACTGGTTAAGTCAACAGAATGCATTTTAAATACTTCATCATTTAATGTTATTAAAATAATTTCATATTTGCATACAGAATGTCATATGGCATATTATTTACAAAGTAGCTCAATGTCATATAAAATTGTTTACATTCAGTATAGGAACTGAATAATTATTCTGGCCAAATAACAAGAAATCAAACCTATTCTCTATATGCAAACTCTCTTTCTTAAACAGTCTGAGTATTTTTCATCTCTACCTCCTCGTCCTTTATTGTCAGCTATGATAGCCTCTAGCCAAGGAAAGGTACAACTACCTTTGCTTCTTCCTTTTGCTTCTGACAAACTGTTTTGCTTTACAGTTGGTAAAAGATCAGCATTGATGTGAACATTGTTAAACACTACTGTCTTTTATGTATGTATAAAATCCAGTTTCTTACCTTACCAAAATTAACTTAACCTTGGTTAATCTGTTACTGAGCTTCCATACTTGGCCTCTTCAACTTTCATTTCAGGCTTGGGTATATTTATGATTAAGCTTATAGAATACGTGAACTGTTGGAAAACAGAAATATTTGAACAGAGTAGGACTTGCACAGAATTTGCTTCCTTTCAGCATCAAAGAATTTTGGCAAGAATGGATGCAGTTAGTGAAAAGAACTCTTATTTCTTGTCTTACCACTCAAACTTGACGTTATGAAAAACCCTGAAATTACATATATGAAATCAATGGGCATTGCTGAAGTAATGCAATTAAATTATTTCCAGTTTGAAAATTATCTTCTCATAAAAATAAGTTAGAAGTATATTTGACATACAAGAATTATGCCAGTAATAGTGGCAGAACTCTAACTTACACATTTTTCCACTTTCCTGAAGACAAAGTACCACTCATGTAAAAACAAGGCTGGTAAAAGACTTGGGGGAAACACTTTAGCGAGTATTTCAGTCTACAAAGTTTATGTAGAAGGATCATAAACTAAATTCTTTTCAAGAAACTCAGGATAAACAGAATACCACAAATTCTTTCAAGGAGCTGACACAATGCAAGTAAGTGCTTCTAACTGCTATGAGAACTGGACTAAGAACTCAAGGAGTCTACTGAACAAACATATAGCATGTAAAATATGGCAGCAGGAGTAATGGAATTTATCCACTCCCAAAACACCAATGCAAAAGGGTATCACCTCCTCGGTCCAAATTACAAGTTTTACATGAACAGCTCTACATGAACAAGTTTTACATGAGCAGCTTTACATGAACAGAATACATTAATAGCATGAGTGTGGTGATTTTCATAAGTTTTCTGCACGTTTAGAAACTCACATTAGTATGGGGTCACTTCTCTTAAGTTTAGCAATATGCACTTGTACTCAATGTGTTTGCTGTTGCAGTCCAGTGAACAGAAGCTGAAAACATCCACTAGTGATACCAAAAAGTAAAGATGACCTTTAATTTGTACACTATTAGGTATCACTCTGTTTCAAAACTAGCACCTGAAATTAAGATATACAGGCTTATATACACTTGTATGCAATCCTTAGATCACTGTAAATCCAAATCAGGGAAGTAAAACTATAAGCCTG